GTGTGTGTGTGTGTGTGTGTGTGTGTGTGCCAGAGAGCACATGAAGGTCAGATGACACCTTGTAAAAGCTCTTTCTCTCCTTCCTTTATGTGGGTTCTGGGTATTGAACAGGTTATCGAAAGCGACTTTATCTGATGAGTCATCTCAACAGCCTTGTTTTGGGATAGGTTCTCTTGTAGCTTAGGCTGGCCTTGAACTGAGTAAGTAGCCAAGGATGACCCTTACTCCTGATCTTCCTGATTCCTCTTCCCAAATTCTAGGGTCACAGGTGGGCATTACTGCCACAGGATAATTTGGTCCGGTTTTTGAGGCAAGGTCTTACATAGCCCAGGCTGGTCTCATGTTTAGAGGCAGCAGGTTTAGGACACTGTGTTCAGAATCTTGTTGTGCTCAATAAATCTGGAGGGCAAAAATATTCTATAGCTCACAGCATCTCCAGGAAGACCAGAGTACCTTCTAGAAACAATGGACCAAAGGTCCTGGCCAAGCCGACGTGGAAGAGGCATGCTCGGTACAGACATAGTCTTTGCCAGCACCGACCATCTGTCCACCTCTCTCAGCCCCAGCAACCTCTGGAGAGAGTCCATCTGTCACTATGCTGCCTTGGGGACATGCTTAATGCCTGGCATGGGGCATCTTGCTGGCACAATGCTAGCACCTGTCAGCAGGCTTGGAAGGTGTCTGACTTCCGTGAATTGAAGGAAACATTCGTAGCGTGGTTGCCACCCCCTAAAGATAACTGGCATGCCCAGGAGCCCAATAGGTTGATTTCTGTTTCCCTCAGTCTTCCGAGAGCCCAGACACCAGCGCCTCAGAGGCTCCGGCTCTACACACTGCACTCCCTGAGACCCTAGGCCACAGCCTGCTCTCCTGTGTTCCTTCAGGTCCACAGAAGCCACCCAGACCTTCCAGTTGCTGCCTTCCCTCTGCTGATACCAGGACCTAAACCCAACCTAGCCACTTCCTCCATTTTGGGGCAACTACAGCTTCAGCGATGGCGACCTGAGTTCATGTCATTAGCTAACTGAACCCCCAGAAAGCGCTGCCAATGACGGATGTCTTCTGGGTTTTATTGTTTGCTTTGAGATTTAATCTCACATTGTATTAGGGCAGGCAGGTCGGGAATTCTCCGTGATCCTCCTGCCTCAGCCTGGATTGCAGTCTTGAGCTACCTCTGCACCGCGTGAACTCTTCTGCTAATGTTCCCGTCCACACGAAAGGAAACGAAGTTTAGAGAAGCTCACCTTCTCTTTGCTGTCTCCACCACTCCAGCCGCCCTTCAGGGGCTGGGCCTCTGTCATTCTGCCTCTGCGGGGGAGCCCTGTATTAACGAGCTAAGGCCTATAGGAGACTCCAGAATGGCCTATGAGAAGCCATACCCAGATCTTCTACTGAGCAAGACTCCTCAGACTTGACTTCAGAGGAGATGACGCCATTATAGATAGTGTGAACCCCAGCTCTTGCCTGGGGCATCTAATTCTAGTAGTCTTGGAGAGCATCTGGGGACCTAAGACTTTTTAAATAAGCCCTCCAGTGGCAGGGCAAGTGGAGGAACTGGCTTTGTGTTCCCTAAGGGTTAGCTGACTATCCTGGCCTAAATTATGGACTGCTCACATTTGATATCAGTAGATGAGACCTCAGAAAATGAGTTCTCTCTTTGCTCTGAAAACACCATGAAATGGATGCCCGGGAGCTGCCAGTGAGGACGTCAACCTTCAGAACAGGAGCCCTTGGAACCCCATCCAGGAATTCATCCAGAGGGACAGTCATGGTGTGCACAAAGCGATCCCAGTCAGAGAAAGGGGACATTCAAATCCCTCCTCTGACCAGGCTGCTGAAGCAGGTCCCTTGCTCCCCTCCCCCTTCACCTCTGTGCAGCTGTGGAGAAGACACAGACTCTGTTCTCCTCCCTGTGGTCCTTCCCTGCTCCCAGGCCCTGCAATTTGCCTATGCAAAGGCTTGAGCAGGAAAGAGTAGCTGAGATGAGGGTGGGAGAGTGGTACCGCTGGGAAACTCTATCAGTTCAGGTTGGTCTGGGGTGGTATCTAGAATGTTCCACTCAGTCTGGCCTGTAGACTTTGTTCCCATAGTTAGTGATTCCAGACCTTGCTCTCCTCTTGCATAGCAGGAGGCAATGAGAAAGATGGCTCCTTGTCTCTTGGTTCGAATAGGGAAGGCCTAGTTTTAGGTGGGACTGATCCTACGTCTTCTCCATCCCCCCACTTCCACCTGGGCTCCCTACTGAGTTACCCTAGTGACTCTAAAAATTTTGTTCTTTGTTTGTTTATTGAGACAGGGTCTTTAAGTAGCTCAAGCTGGGCTTTATTGTGATAAGCAGCCCGGGATGGCCTTGAGTTCTATTTTCCTGCTGGAATCACAGGTGTGCACCACCACCACCACCTTTGGTTTTTATAGGGTGCGAGAGGATCAACGACAGGGCTCTGTGTGTGCTAGGCAAGTGCTCTGTCGACTGAGTTCCACCCCAGCCCAGGAAACCTGACCGTTTCTCAGAGCCTCTACATTAAGGACTGAGTGGAGATGCCCCTCTTCTGGTCCTAGTGGCTGTCAGTGGGCATGGAGCATTTAGGGAGGCAATTAAGTGGGGTCGTAAGAGAAAGGCTCTGATGCTGTGGTCCTGTGTCTTTATAAGAAGAAATAAGGCCCAGCCCAGCCTCCCTCTGTGCCCACAGGCTTGATACCACACGAAGACACACAGAGAGTAGTGGAATCCAAGCCGGGAACAGAGGCCACACCAGAAACCAAGCCCAGTCTTGGCCTTCTGTCCTCGGGAACTGGGACGAAACGGAATCTCTGTTGTTTAAGCCTCTCGGTGTTGGCATTGCTGCTGCAGTAAGAGGCAACTAACAGGCTGAGCATCCTCCTTCGACAGTGCCCGTGAAACTGGTGCTTGCATCAGGAAGCTGTTTTCAGAGTCCACTGTGGAAATGGCACACGCAAGGCTTGCTCTCTTCTGGAGCCTCCGTGCCACCTGGAACAGCGACCAGTGGGTACTAGATGTTTGATAAGTAGATTTGTGTTGTTGCTGTTTTGTTGGTTGGCTGCTCTTTTAGGGACAGGGTCTCTCAGTGTATCCCTGATTGTCCTGGAACTCACTCTGTAGACCAGGCAAGATTCAAACTCACAGAGATCGGCCTGTCTCTGGCTCCCGAGTGCTGGGATTAAAGGTGTGTGCCACCACACCCAGCTTGGTAAAGAGACAAGTGACAGCCACCTCCATTAGAGAATAAAGCAGTTACGTGAAATATGAGAGGTTCTGGATTTTCCCTAACCTTTAACTTCTCCTGTTTGGTGGTCACCACCCAGCAACAACGAAAACAAGATTAAGGACCAGGAAAAGTGACTGCCAGGGATCCGTCCATTCACGTAACCCGTACAGATCTGCAAAGGCGATTCTATCCGAGACCCCAACATGGGCCATCTTAGTTCTTTCTTCTAGCTCGGCAGAAAAGCTGGAGACTACAGCCATGAGAGGGAGAGCAGGGGGCCCTGGGAGTGTCCTGGACAAAGTCCATTTGGGGTGGGAGACCACACGTAGAGGCGGAACCTTCCCAATACTTAGAATATGCAAATAACAGAAATAATAGACTCTTGTGCCCCAGGACATTTGTGGCAGCTCCTAGGCTCTGGAGAGGCAAAAGGGCTCAGCTCATCCACCTTGCCATGGTGAGACTTGGTCCCAGAGGAGCCTCAGGCACCTGTGGCTGTTCAGACTCTAGAGGTGCAGGACTCTGGGCATGGGGAATCCCAGCTGTACTGACCACTCCCTCTGCTCCCTTCTAGGACAGGTTCAGTGGCGGCAGGGCCCGGTGAGTACACCTTTCTCCTGCGTGTCCCCTTGTCTTCGCTTACTGCAAGTGTCTTCCTTCTCTGCGAGAGGCATCTCTTTCTGCCCCATCTGTGAGCTTCCACTCTGCCAGCCCTGTGGCCAGCTTCCCTAGGGCACCAGCTGGGCACCAAAGGCCTCCAGCTCTGCCCCTCCCTCCAGTCTCTTCTTTCCATTGCTCTGACCTCAGGTCCACCATGTCACACAGCGTCTGCAGGGAACATTCATAGTTGTAGGTGCCAATAGTCTAGAGTGTGGTGTCACCCTGATACAAGAAAGGGTCCCCTTGGACAGAGCTGAGTAGAGTCTGCTTACAGGTTGGGGCCACCACTGCCACCTGCCAGATGTGTAGGTAAGTAACACAGTGGGTCACGGGATCCCAGCAGACCCGGGTCCCCCAAAGTTGGATCGCTCCGAGTGACTCTAGATAGCCTGTCCCATCAATTGTCCAGCAAGGCTTAGCCCTCAAGCCTGATTCTCTTACCTGCCTTTGGTGTAGGGTCAAGAACCATCCATAGGTGGAACCCCTGCAGGGGTCCACATGTTTCAACACCCCTGTCTCATTGCTTCTGCTGCTAGGAATGCCCATTTTCATGGGTTCCTTTATCTGTAGGGTAGTAGCCCATAGTTAAGGGCAGATGGTTTGTTATTTACCAGAGAGGGAGTAAAGCCTTGTACTAGAAGCGGGTGGCATGAAGCAAAACCAGTCTGTCTATCCAGGCACCCCAGTCTATCTATCCAGACACCCCAGTCTGTCTATCCAGACACCCCAGTCTGTCTATCCAGACACCCCAATCTATCTATCCAGACACCCCAGTCTGTCTATCCAGACACCCCAATCTATCTATCCAGACACCCCAGTTTGGAGAAAAAATATACCGAGGCCATCTTTCCTGCCGGACTCAGAGACTTGGAGACACAAGGTAAGGCCAATTGCTGAAGACGGGGGCTGGCGTAGAGAAGGGAAGCATTGGATCCTGGGACCTGACATGTTCCATGCCCCATCTTCCCGGTGCCACCAGCATCCCTTCTTGAAGGCTCAGGAGGAGGTAGAAGAGGAGGATAAATATGAGCTTCCCCCCTGCGAGGTTGCGCCCCTCAGCCTGGCCCCTGCACAGTCTCTTGGCTCTAAAGAGGACTCCTTGTATCTGGGTGAGGATGGAGGAGGGAGAGGCTGGGAGGCTGGGTCAGGGCAAGAGGGCCCAACCATGAAGGAGTCCAGGAGAAGCGAGCTCTCCTCCCTTGCCTGAGCTGGGGTAGGGAAGGAGCTCAACTGACTGCCACCGAATCCTCTTGACTGGGCAAACAAGGAAAGAAGGGAGGGAAAAAACTGGAAAGAGGGAGAATGGGAAGGAGGCAGGAGGGAGGAGGGAGGTAACCAAGGCAACACTGACAAAGCAGGAAGCCCAACCCAGTCCCTAGGGCCTTGCGTTCCCCCCTCTAAATCTCTGCGCAGCTTTCCAGCCAGGGTGGGAGTGCCCTGAGAAGCCACCACCACTGGCATTTCTCACCCCCTGGGCTCAGTCAGGTGGGGGCAGGGAAGCTGACTGTCTCCAGTTACCATGGAGATGGGGCTGTCAGGAAGCCAATAAGTAGAGGGGACAGGAGGAAGGAGGGAGAGATGGGGGCTAGGTGGGAAGTGTTGAAAACTGAACAGACTAGGGAAGAACTCCCTCCCTCTTCCCAGTCCACAAAGCACAGAGTCTTTTCCAGATCGTCCTGGGCCTCTCGGTCCATCCAAATCATCGCCACCCCTGCCTCAGCCTACAGTGGCCAGAGGACTCCCCACAAATCCTTCCTTCCCTCCGCGCCCTGCCTCTGGCTACCATTTCCCGGTGAGTGATTCTTCCGGAGGTCTCCTAAGCAAGCCCCCCCAATCCCCACTACACCTTTACAGTCTAAGAGCCCTGAGACCTCTGGTGCCCCGTGCAGCAGAAGCCAGAGTCCAATAACCCTGAGGAGCTCCTCCCACTTGTCTAGAGGGTCCTTCTGTTCCTTCTGTGTCTACCCATTGCTTGACAGGGCTCTGGCTCCTCTCCTCCTCTTGTCCATCCTTGCTGGGGCTGGATGGAAGCTCAGCTTGACCTCACCTAGGTTCTGGGCCCTAGGAGCCCTCTCTGGGCAGAGCGGTCAGCTGATCTCACACCCAGCTCCCTTTCCCACTGTGATCTGGTTACCCGTTTTGCAAGCTATCCCTTTGCTTTTTATTTTATAGACTAAATATAAAGAAAACAAACACACAGGGAAAGTTCACAGTAAAGAAGGTGTTGTCCTTCTGCATCTCTCTTGTAATGTTTGGTATTTGTCTGTTTGTTCGGATGGGTTTTCTGGGGGAGGGGGGGCTATTGAAAGACGGTCTCCTGGAGCCCAGGCTGGCCTTGAACTCCTGCTCTTCCTGCTCGGTTGACATCAGGCACGCTAACAGTCAGTGTTGGATTTGAAAGGAGCACACACATAGCTCTACTGCTCCCACCCCAGCCTCCTTGCTCCTCACTTCCCCCTCCCTCACCAACCCCATCGTTCCCACAGCTGAAGTCTGCAATGAGCCTGCAGCCTGCAACCCCAAAGCAGGGACCTGGTTTTGGAAGGCGAGGTAAAGCGGTGTCCCCCTCTTTCCTTGGCTGCACATTGGGAGTGAAGACTTCTCCACCACAGGCTAAAGTTTTGGGTTTGCCTTGAACCAGGCTTGCTGCACACCTCCTAGCCAGGCATTCTTTTTGCTTGCCTTGCCCCGGAGGCAGTCAGTATAAGTATTGTTACCACCAGTGAGACAGTGAGGAGACAGGCCCAGAGACATGAACTGCCATGCCCCAGGCAGTTCAAAAGCAGACCTGTGATCTCTGGATCAGGTGAGGGCACCCTAGAATGAAGAGGTCAAATCTAAGGCCCTTCCTGTGTATACCGTTCCTCATCCCTGGGGGCCCCTGGGGCCACCACTCTGAGTCTATCCATGCCATGATTGCCTCCAGTGTCCAGAGACTTGCCAGTGACCCAGAGCCCTAGGATGTCAGGACGGGGATGGACTGCGTGAACCATCCTACCTAAAACAGGTTGCAGGAGAGTTTGCTTTTTCCCCCGCCCAAAGTCAAACAGCTTACTTGAGGCACAGCCCCTCTTCTTAGTTGCTGAAAAACCTTCACGACCTTGAAGGTGGCTGTATTGTACTGTTTTGTTTTGTTTCTCCCACCATGAAGTTATCTGGAGTAAAGTCTAGAAAATTCAGTGAGAGGTCAAGTCTGGTGAGATTTCAGAGTTACAAAGAAAGAGAATGAGCAAATGCAGTGTGTTCTCCTGGGTCTCCAGAGCTGGCTCTGAGGGGCACTGGGACTAAGGGGGCCCAGGCTCCTCCTCACCCGCCAATGTTCACGAGTGCTGATTCTCCTTTTTCCTTCTAGGGCGAGGTGCACCTGCTAGAGTGGTGAGCGACTCCTTCTCTACCCCGTAGTCTTGGGAAGTTTTCTTGAAAGCTGCTAGGAGTGGGTGGGCACCTAGGTAGCCTGGGGGGAAGGTCTGGTGCAGCGTCCTTCCCTCTCCCACAGGGATAAGCCAGTGGTCCTGGGGGTGTCACTCAGAGCCTCTCCTCCACTCTCTGTGGGAACCCCTAAAAGAGAAGTCACTGAAGAGAGGCCCCTACTGTGTAGATGAGGAGGAGTGCGGTGCCTTGAGCTACCCCTCTCTAATCAGGGGCTTCTTTCATCTCCCCTTTCCCACTAGCTGAGGCACAGCCTTCTTATTCCCTCTTTGTTTTTTGTTGTTGTTATTGTTTTTGTGTGTGTATTTTGTTTTTGTTGGGTTTTTTGTTTGTTTGTTTTTGTTTTGTTTTTCAAGACAGGGCTTCTCTGTGTAATAGTCCTGGAACTAGTTTTTGTAGACTAGGCTAGCCTTGAACTCACAGAAATCCACCTGCCTCTGCCTCTACCTCCTGGCCACCCTTATGATTCCTAAAAGGCACCACAAGTCTAGTGAAGCCCATGGTTTCATACCTTAGGAAACAGACCTTGAAGAGAAACACAGTGAGGACATCTACCTGGAGTGTGAGCCGGAGCCATGTGAGCAAGCGCCTGCCCCACCCACCCTCAAAGCCCTCAGCTACCCTTGAGCACACTCTCTCTTGACCCCATTTCTGTACCCTCCAAACCCCGCCTGGCTATCTTTATTTCTGCCTTTAGTCCAAGAGGACCCACACTGTCCCTGCCAAGGGCTGGGTGGAGCTTCTCATCTGATGGAGCTGGGACACCAAGCTGCTATCTCCCTATGATTCAAAGGGCTCAGGAGAGTCCAAGGCAAAGGGAACAGAACTAGACCGCTAGACTGTCCTGAGTCACGTCTGGTCAGCCTAGACTTCCCTGCCTTGTCCCCAGCCAAACCCTACCTGCCTTCTCTGTTTTAGTCCCAGCCTTGACTAGGACTCCAAGCTCCAAAGCCCCGATACCCCCAGTCCCTCTGCCAAGAACATCTGGATTGCCCAAGTGAGTGACAGCAGTGGGAAAACCCTGGGGCACTTAGTTTACGAAGAAAGGAAACCCCAGAGGCCAGACATGGTGGCAAACACCTTTCTTTAGTCCCAGCATTTGGGCAGCAGAGGCAGGTAGATCTCTTTGAGTTCAAGGCCAATTTGGTTTTCATAGAGTTCTGGGTCAGCTGATGCTGCATAGTGAGACCCTGTCTCAAGAAGAATGTTTATTAAAAAGATTTATTTATTCATTATGTATACAGTATCCTGTCTGCATGTCTGCCTGCAGGCCAGAAGAGGGCACCAGACCTCATTACAGATGGTTGTGAGCCACCATATGGTTGCTGGGAATTGAACTCAGGACCTCTAGAAAGAGCAGCCAGTGCTCTTATCCTCTAAGTCATCTCTCCAGCCCTTCAAAAATAATAAAAGAAAAGAAAAGAAAAAAAATCTGAGCTCTGTTTTCCAATTTATCCTGTGCAGGTCCATGGTTGCTCATCGGGAGTCTTGGAAGGTAAGAAAATAGTGTTCAAGGAGGAAGTGAGCCCAGAGGGTGGGAGGAGGCCCAGGGTGCGGCTTCTGGATGTGGGTAGTAGCTTGGATGTCTAGTTCTCATCTGACCAGGCCTCCTGTGTCCCAGGGAACGGTGGATACCCCGTTGAAAGGTGAGTATGCACACTTACAGCCTGAATGGGATGCTGCTGCCAGGGCTCCCACACCCTCCCTCCCAGCCCTGCAGACAGCAGAGCACCCCCAGGTTCCCAGGCCCCACTTCACCTCATCAGGTCCTTGCAGCTCTAATTTCTGCCACGGTCAGGCCTGAGAGGACTTTCTTGGGCATTTCCCAGGATCTGCACTAAATCGGGAAGCTGCCAGTGTGTGTCCCAAGATCAGTTTTCATTTGGATGTCACGCAAGGACTGTCTGGTGGGTCCTCCAAGAGTGCTGAGCCTGGGAACGGACTGGCATGGCGCCCTCTGCTGCTGCCCCTGCCCATGAAGTCTGCTTACCGAATCCCTTCCTGGCCCCAACTCTCTTTTCTGCTTCTCTCAGCAGGGCGGAGGCTGTCCGCTTCCTCTATAGTCCCTGCCCCGAGCACCTCTGCTGTCGAGGTGAGCAGAAGCTGGGGGCAGACGTGGGTGAGCACTCCTGGCTTGAGGCCTGGACCACCACAAGGAACACACACTGAACACAGTGTCCAGCTCCCCCATGCTGCACTCCGGGCCCAGACACTACTTGGTTTTGCTCGCAGGCTCAGTCTGGGGCTGGCAGATGTACACACAAACAGTTGTACAGCAGGGTTCTCTGCCCTCCATGCCCAACCGAGTGCCTGAACACATCTCTGAGTGACTCTGTGTATTATGTAGGATGGGAGCCTCCGTGGTCAGCCTTGGTACTCAGGGAACTGTGACCGTCAAGCCGTGGAGAGAGCCCTGCTTCACTTCCAAAAGGTGGGCATCTGTGCACTCCTGGCCTTCTCTGGAATCCCTTCTCTTCACTGCCCGTGGCTGGTTAGGCTGGCAGCAGGAGGAGGGTCAGGGAGGCACGGAACATGATTGCTCAGCTGGGCTTAGGCAATCAGAAGGTGAAGTTCAGGGTGGGGTCTCCTCCACAGGACGGAGCCTATACGGTGCGTCTCAGCTCTGGGCCTCACGGTTTGCAGCCTTTCACTCTGGCGGTGCTCCTCAAAGGCCGGGTCTTCAACATTCCCATCCGGCAACTGGATGGCGGACACCACTATGCCCTGGGCCGGGAGGGCAGGAATCATGAGGAGGTGGGTGCTGGAGGAACCATGGGCCAAATCAGCAAGGTGGACCACAGTGCAGCACCCTGGGCCTGGCCAAGAGCATGTGTGTGTCTGGGGGAAACACACAGTTTGCTTCTGGCCCCCACCCTGGGTTGAGCAGAAACGACAGAGGGCGATGGCCTCTGAGAGAGTTCTGTCTATAAGCCTTGCAATATAAGGATCTGAATTTGTCCCCCAGAACCCATGCAAAATCAATCAAGTGTGGTGGCTTGGGTTTATAATCTTGGTGCTGGGGAGGTGGAAATCCGGATCTTGGGCTCATTGGCCATCCAGCCTCCATAGTGAGCTTCTAGCCAGCGAGAGGCCTTGTCTCAAAAACCAAGGTTGGGGCTGGAGGAATGGCTTAGTGGTTAGGCGCACTTATTGGTCTGGACCCAAGTTGAGCTCCCAGTACCCACATGGCAGCTTACAATTGTCCATAACCCCAGTTCTGAGAGATTCACTGCCCTCTTCAGGCCTTTGCAGGCACTGCATGCATGGGTGCTCATATGTAAAACATTCATACCCATGAAAACAGATTTTTAAAAAATCTAACAAAACAAGGTAGCTGGGCATGGTGCCACACACCTTTAATCCTAACACTTGCAAGGCAGACGCAGATGGATCTCTTTAGATCCAGGCCAGCTAGAGCTACACAGTGAGATCCTGTGTGAAAACAAAATTAAACTGCGTGGTGGCAGCACACACTTTTAATCCCAGCACTCGGGAGGCAGAGGTAGGTGGTTTCTCTGTGAGTTTGAGGCCAGCCTGGTCTACAGAGCAAGTGCATCAGAAGACAGAGGCCGGAACATCTTCTCAGATATCTGGCACTGTGGACAGAGACCCACCTTGTTCTGGGGGAAGTACTTCCTCCCGCCAAGGGCTCAGTCTTCATAGGGTCAAGGTGAGGGCACTGAGACCATCTGAGAGGAGGGTAAAAATCTCCAAGGGATTTCTCCCCAGCAATTGGTAGACTTCAGCCTATCAAAGCTATCCATCACTCAGCTTCCCTTGAGAAAGACCAGGGCAGAGGCCTAGACCTAAAGCAATTGTCACCTAGCTCTGGAAACCCGAGCCTGGCCAGCATCAGAGCACGCCAGGGCAGTTGCAGGCTTGAAACCAGACAGCAAAATGGCATTGCAGTCTCATGGCACAGCGAGGAGAAAAATATCTAGAAAAAAACTGTCGGCCAGCTCCCCTGCTAGGCCCCACGGCTGTCTTAGAAAGTGGCTGGCAGAATAAAGCTCAGAGACCCCCAGACGCCCCGCCTCCTCCTGCAGCTCTTCTCCTCCGTGGCTGCCATGGTTCAGCACTACACCAAGCACCCACTGCCCCTCGTGGACAGACACAGCGGCAGCCGGGGATTCACCTGCCTGCTCTTCCCCACCAAGCCCTGAGGAAACGGCGGTACACATCTCCACCCTTGGCATATGGTGTGCCCCTTCAGCCTCCCCTCCCACTCTGGGCTGCTTTATTTCCCCTGGCAGCCCTCCACTCCAAAGTCCCCCCAGGTTCGAAGTGATAGGTCTTTGAGAAGGGCTGCCTGGGGAGGTTGCCTCTCCTTTAACCGCACGCTTGGGGGGATTAACACACTCTGGGAGGGGCTGCTTTACCAGCACATAGTATACTGTCAATAAACATTTCCTGATTGCATTCTTTTTTAATACCTTTTTTCCCTCTCAATTACGAGTGTTACAGTAGGTGTGCCTATGTGTGGGTACCTGCATGTGAGGGCCTGTGTCCTATACCCTGGAGCTGGAGATGGCGGGAAGGGGTGTGAGCCGCCAAGATTTAGGTGCTGGGAAGAGCAGTTTTGGGCTGTTAACTATTGAGCTATTGTTCCAGCCTCGTGGAAAAATTCTGGAACATGCTGAGAATAGAATCAGAGGTCTTCCCCAAAAGGCCTCACAGTTCCTAAGAGTGATGTTGTCCTGTGGGCCTGCCTACTCTATGGGCTAGGCTGCAGAGGGACGGGATGCGTTTCTGCCAGGTTCAGGCTTTTGTCTACGAGGAGGAAGCCCAGCCCAATAAACTGACATCTGTTTTTGCTTGCTGGTTTGTGTATGTTTGTTGGCTGTGGCCAAGGAAGGGAAGGAGATACAACCACCCCCTTAAGTGACAGAATGGAGACTGAGGATTTGTGTGACACCTAGTTAGTTACTCTACAGGGTTTCTGGAGGCAAGAGAAGGTGATGGCAAGCACTGGACGCTAGAATATAGGAGTGGGAAGAGCCCAGGAGACAGTCCCGGATGTAAAACCAGAGCAGCTGGGAGCCTGGAAGAATGGACGCTAGAGGCTCTGCGACCCGGAGCTGAGCTGCTTGGCAGGCCCTGGGCCCAGCAGGGCTAAGGGGCTCTGGGTTGGGCTGGCAGCCAGCAACCCACAGGCTGGCCCAGAGCGGGGGCGTCTCCGGGCCCTGGCATGGAGCCTGGAACACCCCGTGCCGGAAGCGCCACGTGACCATGACTCCGCAGAAGTCTCGAGCAGCGGGGAAACAAAGGGCAGCTTAGCGGCCGCCTGGCTAGGGGTGGGGGTGGAGTTGGCACGGCGGGCACAGCTCCCACTGGTGCCCACGCTGCACCCCAGTACCTCTGGATCGCCTCCCGGGGAACCTGGGGTGTGGCGGTTCAGGGAGGCTCGTGGGATGTCCGGGCGGAAGCCAGGGCCTTGGGATCTGTAAATTCGAGGCGGGGGAGGGGGGCACGTGGGCTGCAGGAGCATTCACGGTCGCCTTCGTTCGTCATCACCCTCTGGCAGATTACCCTTCCTGAGCTGTAATACATGGGAAGATAATTGTCCCTGCACCATCATCAGCCTCCGGTTAGGAGGCTTAAGTGAGGCCCTTCCACGTAAGAGATGCCTCATGGGCGGCACTCTGGCTCCCTTCTCTCAAACCAGCTCAGAATTCCGGTCAATTAACTGCTACTGACAAAGTCCTAGCAGGAGAGCAGCTTCAAGCTTGGGAGCAGATCAAGGACGCACCTGTCCTAGTGCTACAGAATGGGGTGGGGGTGGGGGTTTCGTCGTCCCCCCCCCCGTGCCCTCCCTTCCGTCCCCCCAGCAGCAGCTGGGGCTTTGAGCTGGCTGAGGAAGCCGGAGGGTAGGAATTCTCAGCAGCCTGCCAGTTCTATTAGCCCAGCACTACTGACTCCTAGGCCACCGTGGGAATGATCTCTCTTTCTCTGTCTCTGTCTCCATTCTCTTCTCCAGCCACCTTAGGGACTTCTTGGGGTGCGGGACATTGGCACTTTGGAATGGATTTAGGGGTGTCCCTATCTGCTTTCAATTTCACTCTCCTGGAGGAGCCCCCTCTTCCAGGACACAAAACCTTTTTACTGGGATCCAAATCTCCCTACTCTGTAAACTGGGGGGGGGGGGGACACGACTAAGAGCTCTTGTGTTATTGGTCCCAGAGGAACTCTATGTTGGATTCAGCTGGGTATGGTGATGCACCCCATAATCCCAGCCCTCAAGAGGCTGAGGCAGGAGCATAGCTTGGTTTATAGAGCGAGTTCCAGTCCAGTCTGAACTACACAGTGGAACTGTCTGAAACAAGCCTCCGAACAGGAACGAAGTGACCTTCCATTCTTTGTTCCAGCAAGAATGGGGGACACAGTCCAGGTAGTAGGGGCCGTACATAATTAGAACCCCAGATGGCAGAAAGGAGCATAGGCCATGGAGGTGGTTCAGTGGGTGGGGTCACTTTCCCTCCAAGCTTGAGGACAGTGGAACCCACAGGCTGGGAGGAGATAACCATCTTTGCCAAGTTTACCTCTGACCTCCACTTGTCAACACTACCCCTCCCACCAAATAAACCAAAAGTGAAAGGGAGAAGAGCTGGCCCCATCTGGCCTAGCTGACAGATGTGTATCCAGATGTCCTTTTTCCAGGGACCCGTCCTGCTCTGGTCTTCCCCACTTCCTCTCCTTCCTCCTAACCCTGGCCCCTACTACTTAGCAGGAACCTTTTCCATCCCAGGACCAGCCTGTCATTCCTGCCAGTGCCCTGTAGTCAGGGCTCTGCATGCTGCCGGTGACAAGTGTTTGTTGAAAAAACTAAGCCCATCCCAGTTCCTCTAAGATGACAATCTGGATTTCTTTTAAGGTGACAGTGCAAGCCAACATTGTCTAATAAAAATCTATTTATTTTTTATTCAAGGAGAACAATTTTATTAGATTGGGGGGGTTGTTTTATTTTGTTTATGGCAGGGTTTCATGCTGCCCAGGTTGGCATCAAACTTGCTGTGCAGCCAAGGATGACCTTGAACTCCTGATTCTTCTGCCCCCCCCCCNGCCCCCCCGCCTCTTGAGTGCTGAGACGACTGACGTGTCAGTGTGTGTTCCACCCTGGGGACTGAACACCGGGCTTCATAAGTGTTAAGCACTCTACCAGCTGAGCTACGTGACTAGTCAATAAATAGTTAACTGCTTTTGAGTCATGTCAATGTGACATCCACAGCCGTGGATGGCAGGCCACCGTCCTATTTTTTAGGTCTTTGCCTTTCAAATGTGAAAAGATGGCAGGGCCATGTCTGGAGTGTGAGCACTGAGGGTGTGGGTTAGGTATGGGGAGCCCTCCACTCTAGCTTCCTAGGGCAGTGATCCGTGAGCTAGCATAGATGCAGACAGCTGGAGGCTGGAGGTTCTCTAAGTCTAGTGAGAGGGTTCCTTTGACTTCGTACTGCATGGCCCTGTCAAGAACTCCATCATTTTTCCTCTGGTGAACAGGCCAGACTAGAAAATTCCATGCAGGGTCATCAACCGAGAGAACACGTTCCTGAGAAATGCTGCGTACGACAGATAAATACTTATCTTCAGGAGGACCTGAAGACGAGAGGAGCCCAGGGGAAAGCCCGGGGGAGTGTGAAGTTGGGAAGGACATGAAAGCTACAGCCTAGACAAACCCCATGGGTTTCCCTGCAACCTGAGCTAGCCATCCCAGGCTTGCAGCTGACTTCACTGTGGCAGATGCAGCCTGACTGGAGACAGAAGCATGCACAGAAGAATCCCATTCACCTTCTGTGCAGCCCTCGCCACAGTCACCTCTCCCTTGCCCCTCCCTCTTTGCTTGATCTAAAGATTAAATCTAGGGACTTGTACATACTAAACAGGCGTTCTTTTTTAAAATTATTTATTTTATGTGCATTGGTGTTTTGCTTGCATGTATGTCTATGTGAGGATATCAAATTTTGAAGTTACAGACAGTTGTGAGCTGCCATATGGATGCTGGGAATTGAACCCAAGTCCTCTGCAAGAGCAGTCAGTGTTCTTAACCACTGAGCTATCTCTCCAGCTCCCTAAACAGGCATTCTAACACACTAAAAAAAACTTTTGTTTGTTTTTGACAGGGTTTCTTCTTATACCCCTGGCTATCCTAGAATAATCCCCACTGTAGACCAGTCTGGCTTCCAATTTACAGAAATCCACCTGCTTCTGCCTCCCGAGTGCTAGGATTGAAAGGGTGCACACCACCACCACCCAGCTGAGATGAGTTCTTGTTATATCACCCAGGTTAGGTTTTAAATTTGCTGTTTTCCTGCCTGGCCCTCCCAAGCAGCGCAGATTTCCCAATTAGAGTCTAGATTACATTGGGTTTGTTTGTTTGCCATGCAGTGATAAGAAGATGGCATGGGGTCTGGGGCCTGGGGCATGCTTAAGTAGCCCTGTCCCACTGAGCTGTACCCCAGCCCTCCTCATTTTGAAAAAGCTGTGTGTGGTGACACACACCTTTGATTCCAGAGCTCAAAAGGCAGAGGCAGGAGTATCTTGAGGCTGAGGTCACCCTCAGCTTTATAAACTTTATCAGAGGTGGGAGTTAAAAAGAAGAGAAAGAAAACTGAGTGCCTGTTCGGGGTTGTGAGAGGGATGTATATACTGTATAGACCTAACTTAGGCTGGCACAGGCTATCAGCCAAATGGCTGGTACCCAGTAATAATCCTAGTGGTAACAGGCAAAGCCTGGTTGTGATAATCTGTGGACCCCATTTTTAGAGGCTCAGCTCTGCTCCTGACCCTACCAGCCCCAATATACCCACAGACACATAAAACCTTTAGGCACAATAGATGTGTAATTATTGTTTTGTTGGCCCATGATACTGTCGTTTTCTTCTTGGTAACTCAATATACACACGCACACAGCCACACACCACCACCACCACCACCACCACCACCACCACCACCACCACCACCACCAGCAGCAGCAGCAGCAGCTTCTCCCTCTTTCCTCAGACTGGGTCTCCTGTAACTAAGTCTGGCCACTATCTACTTGTTCTATTATAAGACCTGGTATGTGAGGGCCGGAGATGTCTCAGGCTGTAAAATGTCTTCTGTGTCAGCAGGAAGACCTGCGTTCAGAACCCCAGCACCCACATAAAATCTGGGTACAGTACTTGTGTGCATCTGTGATCCCATTGTTGGGGAGGTAGAGACAGAAGCTGGTCAGTCAAAACAGAACTCTAGGTGTAATGAGAGACCCCATTAAGACAAAAACAAAATGGGGAGTAACTGATAAAGACACTTGACATTGTCTTCTGGCCTCCCCTTATACATGGACAGACACCACACACACACACAC